AGTCTTAACAGCCTCATCCGCCCCTGGTTATCAGTTCAGTAGTAGAAACGATTTGTCCCCGTTGCCATTTTAAAAGTCATTCAGTTTTGTTCATTCATCTGACTTTAGTTGCAGGTCAAGTAGGTCTGTACTTTCCTTTTGTTAGTAGGGAGGGTCAAGCATTATTCCTTTTATTTTGTAGTGGAGAGTCACACAAAACTTGGATACTTTGGGGCTTTAACAAAAATGTAGAAGAATGTGGGATGGGTGCTCCTCTCTGACATCTTCAGACTTTACCAGTAAGCAGCTGTTGGACAGTACAGGTGATGAGTGTGCATTCTGTGAATGGGATCACTATTTCCCTGGTAGATACATCTCTTTTATGTTACATGGGTGGAGTGGATAGTAAAATTAAATGTCTTTGTGTTTATTTAGGCAGTAGTCAGAGGTGAAAAAGACACACATTAACTTTGTACAGGTTTGGGGAGCAGAGGGGTTGTCATGGATTAGATCCAGAAAAGCTGCTGTAGGTGCATGAGATCCCATTCTCATACTTCTTAGAGTTAGGTGTGCGCATCACTCTGTCTCACTTGAACTTTCTGTCTTCATCTTCATTGCCACCATATGTTTTGGATATCAGAAATGAACGATAGCAAGAGTCAGGACAGCTTTCCACTGGTGGTTTATTTGGTGATGCCTTCATGTATCTGGACACACTGTTCCAAACCACTTTCATGGGAGACTGATCTTCAGTACAATTCATAGGGCCTAAGTCCAACCACCAGCCTGACTTCTTCAAAAATACAGGCTACGAGTTTCCAACTTTTTACTTTACCTTCAGGAACAGACCTGTGTTGGCCTTGAGGCTTTAGAGAAAATAGGACCACTCTTCCTTTGGTTGATCATCTCACTGCTATGCCTTTTTTAAAAAACTATGCCTACTAGATGTTCTCAGTGGAATGGTCTTTTTCCTCTGAAATTTGGCCCACATTCTCCTGTTGTGAAATTCTTGAGGTTGGGGTTGTGTGTAATGTTCCACTTTTGAGCACCCACTGGTAAATTTAGTAAATCTGTCATTTATGCTCAACAGAGTCATTTAACTGCAGGAGCTCACCAGTACAATTAACCCTGTTCCATCAAAACGAGGAGCTGATTATCTTGGCATTCACAGGAGCATAGAGCACAGTTAGAGTGCTGCGGTTTCTGGCCCTCCCGGAGCAGTATTACAGTCAATTGATTATTTTGTTAATTTGTTCTGCATCAGTATCCTGCTGGTTTATTATCATCCAAGTGACTTTATGCACCATGCATAAGTACAAGTATATTAAAAATCAATACTTGAACCTTTTTTTTTTCTTGTAAAGATCTTATCATCCATGGGCTACCTTCTTTGATACATGACCTTCATTCTGATAGCTAGTAACTTTTACATGATTTACTCACATGCTAATAAAGTAGCCGCTCAGATTTTGCTCTCTACTTAATCCTGCCTCCTAATGAAAAAGGAATAAATGAATTAAGAATGAAATAAACAAAAGGCTGGTATTGCTGATAAATAGTAAGAAAATCTCATTCCTTCACTTGGTTCTAACAAGTATCATCCTTCACAGGCTCAGATAATTTAGAGATGGTCTTATCAGAAGCTCGAGTCTTACAAATGCTGTTTTTCCTGCTTCAGTTAAGAGAAACAAGTATCTAAAAGATGGCCTGAGGTTGCGTTGTGCATTGGATCGAGGGCTGGATTCCAGGTCTGAATTTGACACAAGTACATGGGATTATGGCTGTTACAAGATCACAATATTTTCCAATGATTTTCTACCGTTGCACATGCGAAAATGTTCTTTCTTGTGTGTGTTTTTGAGGCATATTACCTGCGATGTGATACGTAATGCATTTATGTTACTAACGTCACGGGGAGACCTGCTCTTCTTTTAAGAAGAAAACCGTAAGATGGAAGTAGAATCAGATGCAGTCCCTCTCCTGAGCTAGACTAGATATAAAAGCACAAGTTCCCAGCTCTGGAAAAACACCATTTTTCTAATGTAGATACCCACCTGGCAAGAAGACTAGGATTCTCCCGAGTCAGCTATCTGCAACCCTAAATGGGCAGTTCTCCACTTAGATCAATGGGTTTGCATCATCCTGTTCCAAGTTTGTTGAACTGAGGATTTTTTTTCTGGAATATAGGGATGTTATCTGATCTTGGAATCATTACTTTCTAGACGTATTTTTATCGAGAGAAAGGCAAGTTCTTACCCTGTGCTGACTATGGTTGTGATACAAGGCAACTCAATGAGGCAGTTTGTAGCTTATGTAAGTGAGAAGCTACCAAGGCCTTACCCAAACCTTTCAACTCATTTCATGACAGAAATGCCTAATCTTTTCTGGATGCAATTGTATGCGTTACCATCATTTGTGAATGTGAGGAAAAAGCACTTGTTTCTATAGTGAGAAAGAGGCCTCAGAATTTCTGAGGCTATTATGTCTGTGGATGGTAACATCCTGTATGCTTTTTCTTCATGTGAAATATTCAGAAAATAGCCTGCAGAGTGGTTTTAGTTCAGAGAAGGTTATACCTCCTTGAGGGGTAAATTTCCTTGTCTCAGGAAATTGTAATATAATGTAATATAATATAATACAAAAAAATAAATTGTATTTTATTGTGAAGATGGAACAAATCAGACAAATGAGATGATCCTGAAGAGGGAAACCAGCCTGTGCTATTTCTGTAAATTGCTCCTCCACTTCCTCCAGGTTGTCTTAAAAAAAAAAAAAAAAAAAAAAAAAAAAAGCCAGGGCTCCGCAGCATTGCTTTTTAATTAGTAGAAATCCTTTTTGTACTAAATCCCAATTCAGTGTCTTAATGCAGCAGGTCCTGCAGAGCCAGCAAGCTTGTGTGGGAGCACAAATGCATGAAATCTTTCTCTCTGGCATCTCTCTAAGTGAGGGTTGGCTTCTGTTCATAATTATTTTCTGTGGTGACAGCTCGGGGTTTGCAGTCACAAGCAGAGAGGCAGGGGTGGTAACAGAGGAAGGCGTAATGACAGGTGATTGCTCTGTTGTCTCCATGGCATCACTGAGCCTTATCTTAGAGGTATCAAACAGTGCGCTTATACCTTTCTTTACTTTGTACAGATACCTGGTGCCACTACACACACCTAGTATGGGTCCTACTTAGTCACTGTCCTCTTTCCAGATAATTTTGTATTAGGTTTTTTTCTCTATTTTCAGTCTGCCCTGCTTTTAATGAACCTGCACAAGTAACGGAAACACACGTGTGAATGAAAGCACTTACCAATTCAGTATTTTATCATTTGGTACCTTTAGTTAAGGTGCTAGAATTCTTACAAGTATATTTTTAGAAACATTTGATACTGCCTTTTTAGGGCACGCTGCCCCATCCTGCTCACTCTGAATTGGTATTAGGTTTTCAGGGTTATAATGAAGCAATGTAGCAGTGAAGAAAATAGCTTTTAGCCCCCATCAGTTAGATCCCAGTTTCATCTCAGCCTTAGGCACCTCATTGAGCACTGTCTTTTGAGGCTCCTGCTTTAATTAGCAGAGACAGGAGGACACTTCCAAGAATGACTCAACTAACCTAAGATCTGATTTAATCTTTGGATGAATTTCTCCCCTGTTGATTTTGACTGACACTATATGAGTTACTGTGACATGGCAGTATAACTCCTGTATGTGTATTCTTAATCAGAAATGGCAAAGCCACATATGTAGAAGTGGTTCTCTGAGTTATTAGATTATTTTAATAGCCATGCTTTTTTTTTTTTTTTTTTTTTTTTTTTTTTTTTCCCCCCCCCAATAAAATGCCTAAGAAAATGTTAGGGGTCTTTACTGCCTTCTTGCTGCACCTCAAAGTGTACTCAGTTTATGGTTTTAAGCGTTTCTCTTTGATCAAGAAGGCTAGAGTTTTTTATATATATTTTAATTAAATGTTGTGACTCTTCGTGATACCTTGGTTGCAGGTGTACTAAAGAGTACAAAAAGAGTATGCCAAACTTGACAGCACTTCTGCAAGGTCTGGGAATATATTAGCACATACTGTAACTCCAATTACAACCATTCAGTGGTCTCCTTTAGAGTGCTCTTTTACATGGGTATAAATAAGATGGTTATGGTCTGACATTTCTAGTTCCTGCCTCCAAAGATATTTGTGTGTCTGACTTCTCTTATTTTCGACAGTGTTTACGTAAATGTTTTTGTGGATTTGCTGTTGATAAAGAAAAGGATCTCTCAAAAATTAGGCTACTTGTTGTTTCATAACCACTATTTTTGTATCTTGCACTTCAGCCAGTGAGGTCAGTTTAGTGGCTTTTTTGCCCTTTAGTTTTTCTTGCCAGTGTATTTATTTATCATTTATTTATTTCAAGGATAATTCCTGAAACTTGATCGCTTTACAAGATGTGTTTTTGAGAACCTCAGGAGTATGATGAAAGCACACAACACCAGATTTTTTTTCTTCCAGCAAATCTCTTTGGCAGGAAGGGCTGTCTAATACTCTGAAAATGCCCTGGAGAAAAATCTGAAAAAGTAAAAGCGTGGTTGAGACCTGCATCCTCATTTTATGAAATACCTGTAGGTTGAAACAGTGACATATTGGAAATTAGTTAAAGATTTTATCTTCTAATAAAAACAATGTTTTGATTTTGGTGGCAATGAAAAAGAAAAGTATGGCAAGAAGATCCATGACAGCAATGATGCCTGAATATGGACTTTTTCTTATGCACATTGTTGGGTGTCTAAAACATGTTCAAGCTGTAGCTTTCCTCCAGATAGGATGCTTCTGGGTGTCTCTCCTCCACATAGTCATTGTAGTAGTCCCAGAAATCTTACCTCTTTGCAAATTTTGATTGAAATCAGTCATTGGTTTAGAAGTTGCAAGTGAATGACACGGACACAAACAGCGTGATTTCATGATCCTTATCTTTTGTGAGAAGGAGGCTAAAAAATCTGTGTATATGTGGTTAAGAGTGTTGAACTAAAGATGGAAAAATTAACCCTTCCAGGTAAGGAAAGCTGTGCAACAGGAAGGCTTCAGCAGAAGGAAGCGAGGATACAGAGACATCAATGATATTGACATCAACATGAATGATCCTTTATTTACAAAGCAATGGTACCTGGTAAGTTTTGAAAGAAAAATCACAGTAATTATAACTAAATAATTGGCATTCAAGCCATTCTGTGCTGTTGCAATGTTTTGCAAGACTTCTTTCCAAATATGTCACAGGAACTTGGGAATGGATCCAAGGCTTGGTCCTGTTGTTTTTAACTGTACCTCTTTTATGCTGGGAAGACCCAGCACATTTCAAGAGTTAAATTTCATTTCAGTCAATGGAAAGATCCTTAGAAGGCTTGAAAGAGAACTGTATTGGTGTCCTGTGGGCATTCCTGCTGTGCTGATGTGACCCCTAAAACTGCATATGAATCATGTCTTTGAGCTCTTGCCAGGTAAAATATTGTTATAGAAGTGTAACAAAAACTTCTAGTGTATTGGCTAGAAAAAGTTGAGGTTTTTCTTTTCTTTTCTTATGGAAATTTGAATATTACTTGATTTTCTTCTGTCAAAAGCAGAACAGCTGAAAACTGATGAATTTTGGCTTAAGCTAGTGTCAAAAGAAAGTGATATTTTGCTAAATTGTTTCATTTTTAATGTGTCATATTTTATAGGGAGAAGTCTTTAGTCATAAAAGAAAAATTAATTTTTTACATGCAAGTAACAAAAATTATATTTTTCTATGTAAAAAGTTGGTAATTTTGGTCAGTTTTATTGTTGCAACCCATTTATGATTAAATACTTACCAAATGTGGTACTGCCTTGTTAACTTAATACGGGTCTTTTTGCTTAAGAATACTGTTTCTTACTCTCTTTCCTTTTAATTCATTTCTTACGTTTTATGACTCCATCCAATGCGGCTGGGTTGGTTTTGGTTTTTTCCCCAAGACAGGAGTTTTCAGATGAATGAGGACACATTAGCATGGATGGGACTTCATTCTTCATAAGATGATAAAGTGTAGCTTAATTCACTTCTTTCTGGTACTTCAGTCAAAAAATGTGATAAAAATACCTTTTTTATGAAGCTAAACATTTTTTTAGATTATAAAGTACACTAAAATTTTAGTGTTTTGAAATGAGATGTGTCTGACAGAATTGAACATTTTTTGCATGCGGAACAGCAAAAACCATATTATTTTTCCTGTGGAACTTGAAAAATTTGCAAATGAGGTTGGTAAATGTGAGTAATGCCTAAAGATAGGGGGGATTGCCTGTACTGCAGAACCATAGAATCGCGCACACACAAGGTTGGGGAGTACCCTTTGAAGTTCATCTAGTGAACTTTCCTGCTTAAAGAAAGGCTAACTTGCTTATCAGAGAAGTTGTTTCTGGTACTAAACTCAGTGGTCATGAATTTCAGTAGATCCCTCCCTTCAAGCAAAAAGCATTTCCTGCTCGTAAAAAAAAAAAATCTTCTGTAAAATCCATTGGTCTAACTTTTGTCTGGATTGGCCTGCTGCCCTGATATGCGTATGTAGAAAAGTTCTTTTTTGAGGTCCAAAAGATTCAGTGTTTAACCAAATATTATAAACCACAAAGAAGTGAATTTACCCAGCATTGTGTTTTTTTTGTTTTGTTTTCTGTTTTGTTTTTTAACTGCTGCATTACTGCAGTAGATATGATTACGTGCAGATGTACACTTCAAAACAAATGGGATATTTTCCATACCAAAGATACATGCAAAGACATAAAGCAAAATTCAGTGGCTGTGGAAATGTATCAAGTAAAAAAAGCTATTCTTCTTCTTTTTCACTGATGTATTAGATTAACACTGGTCAAGCAGATGGGACTCCTGGACTTGACCTTAATGTAGCTGAAGCATGGGAGCTGGGATACACGGGGAAGGGAGTAACCATAGGAATTATGGATGATGGTAAGTGGAGACTTGAGTGCTAATTTAATATTTTTAAGTAGCTTTTTCCATGTAATCAAAGTCAAAAAAAAAGATTAAAAAGTAATAATGGATTGCTTCTAGTGGTGAGACTACCAGTTTCCATAAAGACTTTGAGATCTTCAGGGAAAATATGTTACAAAGACTTCACTAGGGATGCTGAAGCACGGATACTCAAGCATTAACAGTAGCTTGCAATTATCACTCAAATATCTTCCAGGGCACTGTAACGGCCATTAAAGGAAGGACTGCCCTTGACTTCTGCAGGCACTGGCTGGGGGATGTAATTGCTGTGCAAAAAGTACTTAAGAAAACCAATTTATGGGTTACATTACTTTCAAAGTCAGACTTGACATCTGAAATAATTAAACACTTTCATGCTGAATGTCAATAAATACCTGCATATTAAATGAAGGTCAATAAAGACCTGCATATTAAATACATTACTAATTTGAGGGTGAATTCAGGGAAGATGAAGATAAAAGGTAGTGTTGGAGTCACAGCTGTTCTACTCATGGATTCCTGCTGAAGTACAGGAATTCTGCGCAGTCTTTTGCACTTTCCTTTGGGCTAAATTTTGAATGTTTTTCTTTTATGGTGGCTGAATAATATTAAAAATAAATAAACAAAATGTCTGGATCCACATATGTTTTCGAGGGTTAGTTGAGATCTGTCATCACTTATTTCTGTTCCTCACCTGATTACTCCGAAGAAAAGATTTTTGTGGAAGAAAGTAGACTCAGACACCTGTATATTGATGAGAAATCAATCTCATGTGAGAGATGATGTCTCATGTGATGTCATGAGAAATCACAATTTCACAGATTTTACAGAGGCAGGCCTTAGCTTTCAGAATAACCAGGCATGACTGGGATGGGGACGATGACAAACCATTTGAGCTTCAGGTCAAATAAAGCTGTTGGTCTGTCAGATAAAACTTTTAGAGAAGGGGGCAACTTGCCTTATATTCACTTCCAGTAACTCCAGGAGAGGGCACCTGAATAACATTCTTCACTGGGGCTTTTGTTGTCCATCTACAATTTGGATCAGTAAGGCTCTCCACAAACACAGGGGGTCTCTTCATGCAAATCTAGTGCTCAGGACTCTACAAAATGGCAGGTAATAGTTCCATTAGGATAACCACAATAATATGACATTCTCCTTGCAGGTAAGATTGAGCGTGTAATAGTGTGGTGGTTGGAGACATGGGGCAGAGTAATGTTCAAAACGTAACAGGAGACTGGTGGCCATTTCTCTGTATGTTTTAGCTGGATATGTAATAGGTCAGCTTATCCTATCTGAGTGTAGATCTGTTGCTTCTGTCACACCATCCACTGAGATTTGTATATTTGCCGTATGTAGAAAGATATCATGCATTAGAATGAGTATATTCCACACCACTGCACTGTTAGAATCTTTAGCACTCTACCAAGGTGTGGAGCCTATGATCAGATACTTGCTTAAATGGCCTAATCCAATATTAAAAGTTCTCTTTCATACACATAATCCAAAATGTTGGCCTTGGGGATCTCTCAGTCTAGTTTAGGTAATTTTCTGTCTACTTTACAATTTTCAGTGGTTAAAAATATGCATTTTTATATCCTTTAAGGATCTGGTGCTCACTGATCTTGTTTGTTTTGTTATGCTTTGAGATAATAGGACTTGTATAAAGATAAATTATGATTTAAACTAATCTTAATAAGTAAATATGATCTAATCTATAGACTGGGTCAATAAATTTTGTCACTGAGCTCACCTTTTCAATTGGCACCTAGCTTTTGACATAAATGATTGAAAACTCCTAGCTGGGACTGCATCAGAAGTGGTACATCAGTTGAAAAGTCCACATTTAAAAACTGGAATCTTACTTCAATTAGTTGCATTATTCACCATGATCATTCCTGTGGTTGCAAATGAGTCTTCTTTTGTTCCGTAATCATTAGAAAATCTGGTCTAAAACTCTTAACCTTTGGTTTCTGTTCTGTCACTATCTTATTGCAGGAATTGATTATCTGCATCCTGATCTTGCATCAAATTACGTAAGTACATGCTGACCTTTTCTGTAAAATGTGGATTTTCTTATTGCTGTAGTCCCTCTGCTACAAAATTTTAAATAATGAGTGGAACAACAATACAGCTGAACTGCTGATCTTACAGATGATATATTTCACATTGAAAGCAGCAGACTAAAAATGGGACTGCCTGTGCAAGGCATGGAAAGATGACAGGGCTCTTTGTAGAGGAATGACAGTGGTGCCTCACATTAAATAAGCTGCAGCTTGCAATATTGGATTTAGGACAGAAATGAGTAACCTGGGAATTGGCTCTAAATCTTGCTATTAAGATGCAGAATGCACCTGTCACTTGGAGGGCCACGGAGCTGTGGGCTGTGGCAAGGCACATATTAGCCTTTGAAACCTCCAGGAACAGCTTAATTCTTTTATAACAGGTGATTTGATCCAGTGCTTCAAAGCATGTGCAGGGCAGATTGTGTATTCTCAGCACTGCTGTATCAGTTGATTGTTCTCAAACCTACCTCAGGCTTCAGACCTTTGGTCTAGATGATTTTTATGTTTCTTAATTCTTCCAGGCTCTCCCCAGCCCCCCACTGACACTAGCGCTCCTATGTCCAGGTGTCTACAAGGGCTCCCAGCAGCCCTGGACTGTAGGTTGCCTTTGTGGTATGCTGCTCTCAAACTGTGCTTGTGGTAGCCCCTTGGGCAGCGGGCATCAAGAAGTGGTGGCTCCTTGCCCAGGGGGGTTGCGGTGTCTGTGCTTTGAGGTCTTGCTATCCTCCTGCAGTCAGTGGCTTCCCGAGAGAAGGCCAGGCGTCGTCAGCTGAGCAATGTGGCTTAGTGTGCGATTGCAATTAAATGGAAAGAAGGACAAAGACAACTAGAAATTGTGGTAAAAACATGAGCCATTCAGACAGAGCAGCTCCAGAATGAGAAAAAGTAAGACAGTTACTTTTACATACTTGCAATTTGGAAAATAACAACACACAGGATGAAAATGTATTTGTTATTGCAAGTAGCAAAGCACATTTGGTGGAGAATAAATGGATGTAGAAGGTGTTTACTTTGGACAAGGAATTTGGGAAATAGCTGTCCACAGAGGTGAAGTACAGGACAGCCAGTTTTACTCCTTATGAGCTGACTTAATAACTTGACAGCAGCTAATTAAATCCTGTGCCCTGACTGTAAAATTCTCTCTAAGGAGGAATAACTCAGTAGGATGTTCCCATAAATTGATACAAATAAAGAAGTTTGTGAAAGGCAGCATTTATCTTTGGAGGAATTGTGCTCTGTGTCTATGTTCTACCATACGGTCTGGGCAAAGCACACCCTCTTTACTCACTTTTTCAGCAGTGGACATGGACAAAGTATGTGGGAATATTTCGGTTTTAAACATCATATTTCAAATAAACAAGCAAAAAGTCTGTATACCACATCTGATATAATGTCACATAGGAACAGTTCCATTGTTAACAGTGAAGCTAGGATCATGCCCAGAAATAAAAAATAGATTTTTCAGTAATACAGTGTTTTCTAATTCTAAAAATATTTTCTGTTTGATGGATAAATATTTGTCAGGCTTAGTAGAAATGTCTTGGTTTTAGAGTGGCAATAGTGAGTATTCTGGAAATTAATAGAAAAGACACAGGCATGATTCTAGAAATCAGGAAATAGTGGAGCTGGAGAGAAACCTGAGAGTTCAGAAAAGAAATATTGAGATGAATATTGGAGAAGAAAAGCTGTCTGGGCTTGGGGACAACAAACTTTTAATGGCAGTCGTGAGAGACTTGTGAGGAGACAGATCTTGAGATGAGAATCTGAAAAGCTTTGCCTAGGAGCGACTTTGTCCAAGCATGGGGCGGTCCAGTACTAGAGCTACGGTCAGGCTGTGAAGGGTCAAAATGAGGGCAATGCAAAATGCAGAATTGGGCATCGCTTGTGCAGGGCAGATCAGTAGTCAGACACAGGGGAGAAAAAACTGAGGAACGAGTGGTTGGTAAGACAGTCATTAAAGGAGCAGCAGAAACCCCATCTGAAAGATCACAGTGTATAGCTCATCTTTATTGCCTGAGGTTCACTTTTAATTCCGTGCTGAATATACCAGAGGACACAGGAAGGAAACATGGTGATAAATTAGCACATTATAAGCAAAGTAACCAGTAAAAGGGTAAACTTGGTAACCAGTAAGAGGTGCTGGCACCTCTTCACACAGAGCCGGCTGCAGTTGCTGTGGCTGACTGGAGAGCAAGGCTGACTCCTGCTCCTGCTGCTAAAATCTGCCATCTCCTCCCTCGCCCAAGTAGAGCACAGCTTGTTGCTGGCTTGGTTCACCTGCACTTTGCCTCTTCTCCTCTCCCTGTGAAGCTGCAGAGGCCTCCTTCAGTCCTAGGAGATCCTGCTCTGACAGCATCTGCTGCATCTCCGGGACCACGGGGGCAGTTTTTCCTAGTAGGTAGTAATATGGGCATGAACTAAAGACAAGCACTTAAATTCAGCTGGAGGAAAGATCAGTTTAGACATAAAAATGCAGCGAAAGAGTCTCTTAAGGAACGAGCTGTTAACTTGCTTCTGGCTGGCGTAGCAATGGCGTAGCACCTTTGTGCAATTCCTATACCACATGCTTTGTGTTTCACAACATTTGCACTTTGGGGCAGCTTTCTCTTAAGTTATATTGTTTATTTTTAGAAAATTTAAAGCCTGCAGCTTATGTTTCTCAAGTGTGCAAATGCCTGCATACCCTGGCAATGTCTGTACATCTTGCTTGGAAAATTGGGAGCAATTAGAAAGTCTCTCAAAGGTGGTGGTTTTGGCACTTGGGCATATTCCAGTATAAAAACTTGGCATTGGTTACTCAGTTTAATTTGGCTTTTATGGTTTTGAGTTGCTGGTTTTCTTGCTTGAATAGTTTAATGGGGGTTAGCACTTAGACAAGACGGAGGGTTGGGGAAGAGAAAGAGCTTTCTAAATAAAAAATAATTCTGTATTTTCTCCTTAAAATTGCTGAACTATGACCTATCGTATGGAGTGCACTTCTATCCATATTTTTCTTTGCAGTTTCTGAGCTTTCCAGCTTGAATCCTCCATTTATCTTTTTAATGCACTTTATATACATGGAAAGGAGTGTGCCTGCTCATGGTCTGGATGGACTGCTCTCCCAGCACCCCCTCCCAGCTTGCTGCAGTATAGCTACTTGCTTTTCTGGGATCGGGGGGTTATGGCAAAGATGGAATTTTCCATTCTGCACCGTGAATGCAGAGAGACTCATTGTCAAATGATCGATATTTTCTTCCAAGCCTTGGAAACCCTGCAGAGGTTAAGCCTTCAGGAAATTATTTTTTTTTTTTCCCACAAAGAGAACCCTTCATTATGAACTGATAATTAAAAAGCTGGAGCCTAATGTGCTCCATGTTTTTTTTTTCAACTCAGACTGTACATACAAAGCCAGCAATTTTCAGGACTGACTTCTCCAAGATACAGCATCTGAGAAAGAAAAGTGAAGTAGCAAGGGCTGCATTTTAGATATGTCTAATAAAAGAGGAGAACAGCAGCTGTGAGGGGTGTACATTACAAATTTCAGTACATTGTTTTAAAGAAAAATCTAAAAGAGAGCAAATGATGATTTGTTGTGCCACAAACAAATATAAGCTGATCTCTCTCTTGCATCAGTTTTTATTGTGGTACTTTTATACTTGACCAATGTCTGCTTGTGAAGGTCAGTGTAGCTGCATTATCCCATTTACAGCAGCAGGGAGGTGATCATCTCCTGTAAGTGGGTTTGTCTCTGATTAGCAGTAGTGAGGAAAATTGGGATCCCACCAAGAGACTTGGGCCAGGAGTAAAGAATTGCTGGTTTCAGTGTCTGAACTCTGCCTGAAGCTGAAAGCTTGTTTAAAAAACAGCTGGGGATGGAGAGGGAATAAGACAAACATTTACTGTAGGAAAATCAGAGGTGACTATGTGAATACAAAGTACTGATACATGTAAAATGAGAATCATGCCCCAGTTCTTAGATAGTAATATACTAAGATAAGAAAAAATATTTTGAAATTTGTGGAATTACACAGATGTAACATGCGCAGACAAATACGCAATCTTCCTAGCAGCTCTTCATTGCTGCCTTTCCCCTAACTTTCTGTGTTTTCTTCTCTGTGGCGTTATCTTTATGGTACAACCTTATGTTCTGTCTTCCAAGGTCCTCTCCAGCTGTCATACAAGAGGGATGCAGGAAAAGGTTTGCTGAGGAAAAAAAGGCTCTATGCGAGGAGCGAGGGAAGACTTTCTGCAGTTACCCTGGGGTTAATTGAAGTTTACTGTCATCTACCATTTCTTATTCAAATGTGAACAGCAGGTGATCTTACTTATCTTCTCTTTCCACTCTGGCAACATCTCCAAACACAAAGCAGTCTTTCTCTCCCAACTTCTGGTAACGTCACCAGCTAATATGATAACAGCTCTTGCCACCTTGCTGAGAGGCACAGAAGCATATTTTTGGAGTAATTATCTTATCACTTAAGGACTGAAATGTTCTACTTCTGTTATGAGCTGCAATTTCCATTGTTTGCTAGAAGAACAAAACCATCATTGAATAAGCTTTACAGCCACGGAAGAAATAAGAAATAATACAGGCAATAAATTATGCACTGCAATATGTGCAGCAAAGCTTAGCAACAGCATAAAGGATCTTCTTTCCTTTAGAAAGTCTGTGTTTCCTTCATTAGCATGAATTTCTGAGGATGCCTTGGGCTACCTGCATGCTACTGAAAGGACTGGTAAATCGTTCTGGAGGCCATGAGCCTCACCTCAGTAATTTACCAGGATAAGTCATCAGTATCTCCACTAAAATCACTGGGGCTTAATGGTGGGGTTTTGTAAGTTGACAGAGCTCCATTGGCATCTGTTGAACTGTGCTGCTTTGACTGTGATGATCTGCCCCGCAGAAATCCCAGCTGATGTAATTGCCTAAGTCAAACAGGGTTCACATATAACTTTGTTGCAAGAAAAATGTTACCCTTCCAAGACTGAAA